TGGTGCGTGTGGAGAGGGGCTGCCGCGGTCCGGGAATGGCTTCGCGTTAGCCAGCGCCGCGCTTGTTCCCCGTCATCAGTGCGCCGTCAGCTGGATCCCTGAAAACAGCTGCATGAGAACACCTGGAAGATGCTGAGCTGTACAGTGGGATTTTAAGTATGAAAATTTAACATAGTGTGTAATTCATATTATTGTAACTGATTACGCGTTATTTTTCTTAGTTAAACTATAAACATGAAGAAATTAAAGCTTAAAGAACTGGAAAGCTGTCTTCAACAAGTTGATACTTTTGAAAGTCCAAAACTACTTCTTGAACAGTATCCAACGAGACCTCATATCGCAGGTAGAGGTTACCTACAGCACTGTTGTCTCTTTTACTAGTTCTTGATCAGCACTTTAAAAAAAAAAAGTGTTTTGACTGCATTATCTCCTTTGAAGCCTTTACACTAAAAGTAGTTGAGAAATTGTATCCAGGAGGAATGAAATTAATTATTTTTTAATTCTGTTAACTTCTTTTCATTAGAAGTATACCATTAATGTACAATCCAAAAATCAAGTAAATTGATTTAAAAGATAGATAATGTTGTGATAGAAACATCTTAATCTGTAAATGAGAAAGCTGAAATGGACTTATTTCATGACACGCAAAAAACAGTAAAAGTGTAGATACAGACACTCACCCATATCTTAAATGTGATTTTTTCCAATATTTTACATCTATTGTTTTTCCCCAGACAAATTTAGAGGCATACTTTTTCCACAAACAATACTCACAGCTCTATGTGTAATCTCTCCACCAAACGTCTAGAGTTCTCTAATTCATCAAAATGTTTTTGACTTGTTTTCACGTATAAATGAAAAAGAATTACAGGCAGTGAGAACATCAGCTTAATTTTGCATGACAAGAAACCTTAATTTCAGAGTTTTCTGAAGGCAAAAGTAGCTTTTCTTGATTAATCAGATGCTTATTTGATATTATTGACCTGTGGTTTTTTTTTTCCCCCCAGCATGTATGCTTTATACAATTCACAATACTTTTGATGATATTGAAAACAAAACAATTGCAGATTTAGGATGTGGTTGTGGCATGCTCAGCATTGGAAGTGCAATGTTAGGAGCAGGGTAAGTATTTAATACTAAGTTCTGTTTGTGTTTTTTTCTGGCATAGAAGAGTAGAAAGTAAGATTAGAACATAGCAATGCTGAACTAAACTAATTTTAGGTATCTAATCTGGTGCATAATGAGGCTATTTAATATGTTTAGACAGTTAATAACCATTCAAATAGTGGAGGAGATAGACATGAATGGAATGCCATGAATTTGGAAGTGATAATGTTTGCTTTCCCTTGAAGCACTAAATGAACACATGAAACTTCCTTCACAAACTTTAAAAGGATATTTGAGAAAGGGCAACAGAGCTACTTGCATTTTTATCAGCACTGAATTTATAGTATCTGCTTGTTACATTTCCTAGATAAAACAAGTTGTGTACACAGATCCCTTTCAAAACTTTACTATAGACTTTAAACACCATTTTAGTTTGCAGGAAACTAATATGTGGCACTTTTTTTTTTAATAGATTGTGTGTGGGGTTTGACATAGATGCCGATGCACTGGAAATATTTAATAGTAATATTGAAGACTTTGAGCTCACGAACATCAACATGGTTCAGTGTGATGTCTGTTGTTTATCTGACAGCATGTCAGAGGCTTTTGACACAGTTATTATGAACCCTCCGTTTGGTACCAAGCATAATAAAGGTTCGTAATTCTGAAAGTCAGTTAGAAATTATTAGGAATGAAATAGCAAGGGAAACCCTTTTAATGAAACATCTTCCTTCTTTATTACAATTACCTATTGTAATTACCTAGAGTTTTGTTGATCTGGAATCAGTTTCCTAAGTACAGATTAACAACTTCATCATTGTAACTAACAATTGCTGGGTATGAAATAAACAATACTAGCTATTTCATATCCCTATCATTTTTATCTTTTACTAACAGCAATTGGGTACATTTTAGAAATACTTTCTGTACTTTAATGTATTCAGCGCTGTTTCTCAGATAGCTATTACTCCAGAAAAATTGAAGAATGAAGCAGATCTTTAAGTCCTCTAGTTTAAGCTTGCATTTAACAATTCTAATAATTTCATCATTCTTTTAGGAATGGATATGATTTTTCTGAAAACTGCTTTACAAATGGCAAAAACAGCTGTATATTCCCTTCACAAAACTTCAACACGGCAGGTAAGCCCTTCATTTTAGCAGGGCAAGCATTAACCAGGCAATGAAATAGCTGGCATTTAATGATGTTGTCTATAGCTTCACTGATTTGTTCACACCTTTAGGGGGTATGAAACTTGTTTTGGGTAAATACTAATCATGTCAAATAACTGTGATCTCACATACATCAAGGTAAGTAAGTGATCTAATGTTTCAGCTTGAAAAACAAAAGCACAGGAGACTTCTTAAATAAGTACAGAGTATAGATGTTTACAAGACAGCGTAGAAACAAACTTTTAAGTTTACCTGTATCTATTTAATATTGTAGCACATTCAAAAGAAAGCAGATGAATGGGAAGTGAAGATGGAAGTCATAGCAGGTAAGATTAATTTGTTGTTAAAGAAAAAAAAAATTTGTTGTGGGCTAGTATCTGTAACACTACTAGCCAGTCTTAACAGCCTGAGGTAAATTTAAGTGTGATTTAACACTGAAAATGACACAGGTCTTTTTTTAAGCAGCTCCCCCTTTTTTTTTTTTTAATCTACCTTGCTACCTGGCTAGAATACAAGCAGACACTTAATAAAGCTCTGAGGAATGTATATTCTGTGCAGAATTAGAATTGGATTTCTTCCTGGACTAGATTTTGCCTTCAAGCAGAAGTTACCTACCTTCCTGCTTCAAAAGATTGTTGCTGAATAACAAAAGCAAAGTGCAGGTCAGTTGTCACACAAAAAACCATCCTGTCCTTATAGTCACCTAAATATTTTTCTTTCAAGTATCTTCCCGATTCTTAAACATCACCAGCTGGATGCTTTATACAGTCATACAACTTGAGACATGGAAGTTGCACAAGTGCTTGAAACACAACTGCATTTCAGCCATCCACTTACTGTCTGATGTGGTTGGCTTAAATGTTCAGCCATAATGTAGTCTAGAGATCAAAACAGTTATCTAGCCAGGGGCAACAGAGGTGGGCAATAGAAGAACGTGGGTGTAGGGTGCAAGTCAATTGACTAACAATCATTCTAGTGTAACAAGTATTCTTTGTACTGTTCACAGAACTTAGATATGACCTACCAGCATCATACAAGTTCCATAAGAAGAAATCAGTAAGTATAAAACCTAACATAACTGAGAAAATGCTCTGTCTTGTACTAGGCAGATAAATAAATTCTACTTAAGAAAATTTAGGTTTTAAGGCTGCGTGTACTGGATGAGGAATGCTCACAGCACTTGAGAGAAGTTCACTACGATGGCATCAAGTTCCATTACTGTTACTACATTTTGTAGTTGAATAGGGAACAGGGAAAATAATCATTGTAATCCAAGTCAAAGATTAAAGGCAGCATTGCAACTAGATGTGAAAAAGCTAAGGGTAGTCTCCTTGACCCAACTTTTAATAGTTATTTGCTTGATCCTATCTGCAGCTGGAACTTAGACTGTAATGAAGGCCAGAGTAACTAGGATGTTAAAGCTGTAGCACTATTTCAGTGTTCTATGCTCTGTACTGCAAATAGCTACAGCCAGTGAAATCCATCACAGAACTACCTTAGAGGGAGCAGGAGGAAGCTGCGCACTTCATCCCACAATAGAAGATCTAGTCAGAATGCTAGAGTATGGAAGCTTAAGCCCACAGGCAAGTTCCTGGGTGGTGAATGCTGGCTTAGAAACATGTATCCCATTACCATAGGGGAAGTAGAGAGAGAATCCTGGAGTAGACTGAGCAAGATTTGAAGATTGTTAGGTATGTTGAGTAGCAAAGACTAGAAGTTTTATTCAGCTGTACCTATTCTCTTGGTGACTTGAACTTAAGTGATAGAAGTCTGTCCTTCAGCTTTGCTACTTCACAGTTACAGCTTCATACTACATTAACATCCAGGCTTCAGTAGTAAGCAGTTTTAAGTTCTGAATTTATTGGTAGCTGCTATTTAACATAACCGCAAGATTACAAAGTCCAGAACCTTTTACATCTGAATGAGGTGCCAGAGAAGTTGAGAGGATCTGTCAGTATAAACAAAACTATATAAAAGAGTTTTCCAGGGTGGTATGTTAAGAGTAAGCATGCTTATTTAAAAAAAAAGCTGTAACCTAACAAAATGAAGCTTTCCTCTCATTGTAGGTTGACATTGAAGTGGATTTCATTAGATTTTCTGCCAAGAAACTCCTGAGCTGAGGCATGTCTTTAAAACCTATTGAAAATGGAACAATAAAAACAATGATTTTTTTTAATTTTAGTATTACTGATCTACAGCTCCATTTTCTGTTTTCAGTTGTTTTGGTGCAGGTTCTTCTTTTTCCATTTCCTCTAGTGGTCTCTTCTTGGGACTTGCTGGTTCTGCAAGATTGAATATGTAGTCATTTATGATAAAGGAAAGCATTTCAGTATTACCTGAAATCTGAAAAAACAAACCCTTCCTACCATGTAAGTTCAAGGATGAGTCCTAGTTTATCCACAGCCACTGCTATGCTAGAGGGTTTACTTATTACTGTGACTTAAAGCTTTTAGATGTTCTAAAATACCAACTTTGAAGAGCTTCTTCCCTGTATAACTTCACAGCAGGAGGGCAGGTAAGAAGATGAAGGAATACAATCTAACAGGAGTAAGTTTCACTGGGTTTTGTTTAAGCAGGTGCCGTATCTACTGGACAGAAGCTTAGCTCTTCATCTTCTCCAAGCTAAATAGCAATATGCAGAACTATTAGTCTTCTCAGATCCTCAAGGGAAAAAAAAAATCACCACTCAAGAGGCTGGGTCTGTATGGTTGTGTAACATTGCTGACAACCACCATCTTTCAATGCAGAATGCTTTCAAGAGCCCTGCAGTACAGCCTCAGCTATCTAGTAATTATTTTAATATGCTTTTTGGACAGTTCTGGAATGAATCAAGCACAAAACCCTTAAAGTTACTTTACTGATACTGACAAGAGGACAGAAATAGTACAATGTAGGGCCAAATCTGAAACACTTCTAAGAAACATGAGTACTCCTCCAGAAAGTAACTCCATGTACTAAAGAAGCTGCATCCAGTGCACAAAATTACATACCTGTTTTAGTATCATCTTCGCCACCTTCTTCTTCATTCTCAAACTTTATTTTCTTGCCCTGAAACTGTACTTTTCCTTTGTGTGCACCTTGAGGTATCTTTCCCCCTCTTCCTTTTCCTTTAATTTTGCGTCCTGTGGGGATATAAGATGTCAGGAACTTTGTCTTTTAACTGGCAAGCTCAAAAGAAAGCTTTACAGTTAGTCAGTGTTTAGTATGTATTCACTATTTACAGTTACTTTCACACAGTGCCACTTCTAGGACATTGTAAATGCTTAAACCAATAAAAAGAGGACCTTTTGTTTTCTGTTTCAGCAATTCTTGCTGATCTTCCAGTATTTTTTTCAGAGCTTCTTTCTCTGCATCTCCTTCTAGCACTTCCCACGTGACATCCTTGTTCCGAAGCTGTAAGTTTCCGTTATGTGCTGCTTTGGCTTTTTCCAGGGCTGCTTTTGCAATATCCTTAAATAGGATAATTCCCTTGAAAAGAAGAGTGGCATTTGCATTTGAATCTTCCTGCGAAAACATTCAGCTAGAATGATGAACAACATATCCTGTTGGGTACCTCAGCAAGTTCATTACTCTTGCATGATGTAAAATATGTCTAGACCAAAGCAAAACCCTGACTGTCCTAACAAACATTCTCAGTCTCAGTTTTGACCGTATCAACTGAGAAGGCTGGAACCTTTACCAGTTCTTTTGAAAGAATTTAAGGGAATAATTTAATTCTGTAGATATTCTGCAATTCCACAAGTCAAATAAATAATTTATTTGATTACATAAGAGAACAAGCATTTAATCATTCAGTTTCAAACTAATACAGAGATCTTAACTCCTTGTCTAAGATTGTACTGACCTCCTTTGCACCTCTGACAAAGTGTATCCATTTGATTTCTCCGTGATCAGAAAATACATCATGGAGATCTTCTCTGCATGTTTGATCATCTAGATCACCAGAAAACTTCAAAAGACATCCTGTCTTTTCTTCCAGAGACTTCTAAATGAAATTAAAAAACCCCACATTTTTGTTGAAGAGTCAAGCTTGAATATTCTTTTTTTTCCTCCCTGAATCCTAAGACTATTAAAACATGATAGTGATGAATAAGCAATTGAAGTCACCCCCTTAGCACCATCAGTAACCCAAGCATTCTTGCTACATAGCTTATTTATGCTGAGTCCAAGTCTTGCATGGTGTGTCCCCTACTCCTTTTTTTTCCTTTTTTAAATTTTATTTGCTTACTACGATACATTTATGTGGAACTTGGGACTCCCTTCCTGTAATAGAGTTACACTCTTTAAATTGTACAAAACAGTTTTCTGAAGGCTGACGCCTCAGGTTGAAAATCTATGTAATACTAATGAAATCCTTACTGGATCCTTTAAATACCACAGAAGAACTGTCATCTCAGTGGTGCATTTAGGATCACTTCTGAACACGTAAACATGCCTAATAATTTAAATTCAGGATATGATCCCTTAAACAAAATTAGTCTCATGAAAATAAGATTAAATACCATGACAAAACCAAGTCTTACTGTACTGTACGTTAGTTGGAAAAGCTGAAGTGACTTTCTAGAAGGTGCTCTTTATTATAGAATTTCAAACTCTGAATATCCCATGTTACTTTACAAAATGTAGCTGCAGGAGCATGTTTGTTATTTTCAATCCACACAAAAGCAAGCATTGCATAGTTTTCAGGTATAGAGATTTAAGAAACCCATACCATTTCAGCATCTGCTGCTTGTTTCTGTTTTTCTTCTTTTTCCCTGTAGAAAAGTTAAATTAGTTAAGAGTTGGTTCAAGTGTGATCAGGTGAGCAAAACCAGGCACTTAATTGTTAATGACTTACTGTTTAGCTCTTGCTTTAGCTTCTACTTTGTTTTGTCTCCTTTCTTCATTCTTCTTTGTACAATACTCCTCCCTTCAACAGAATATAAGCTAAGTTAATAACCACTTCAAATATTCCATTAGTTACTTTATAAGACAGCAGTAGCCAAGAAACAGTTGAGATTATCTTTCGGAGTTGAGATGCTAGTCTCCAAAAGGTACAGCTATCAATATCTCTACAACAGTGTAGAAACTTACACTTCTCAGGTCAAGCCAGGTTCTTGTCTAAATTCACCCTTGACCATTATTAGTTCATACATCAGTTAAGTGGACTTACTTGAAAAGTACTATCAGCTCTGTGTCTTTGTACTTTTGGTTTGGGATCTCTGTGAACTTCTTAGCAGATTCAACACTATCAAAAACTGCAAATATTGAGCCCTGTTAAATGGTAAGAGACATTCAGTGTTAGACTAATTGAACAGAATGTCGTCCAGGAGGGATCCCTGCCCCAGGTCTAACTGTTCATCGCAAGAGCTACCTTAAATGTTCTCTGCAATGTTCTCCTCATTTGAATGTTTTCAACTGGACCTTTATCCTCAAGCCATTCTTTGATATCATCAAGAGTTGCATCTAGTGGAAAGCCTTTCTGCAAGATAGCAACAAGCTTCAATTATATGCAACAAACTGACACTTAGTCAGAAGTTATAACCTATCTAGCATGAATTAATTCAAGCTTTACTTAGATGGTTTTCAAAATCATGCAGAACAGCACAGAGCAAAGGAAGAAGCTTACTTACAACATATACAGATCTGTTTTTAATTGCAGCCTTATACTGGTCATTTAATTCAGGAAGGGGTTTGTTTGGAGATCTTCTGATTTTAGTTTTGTCTTCATTTATTTCCATTAAACCAGTCTTGGATTTTCTTAGTGCTTCTACAATAACACTAAAATCTTTTGAAAGGCGACTTAACCTATTGAGTAAGCAGGCACACGTCATTACAAATATACAGGCAAAGCTGAAGCCAAATGTTAAAACAGCAATAGGAGTTGTACATGCAGACCAGGGACATTTGGCCCCAAATAGAGCTAAGTAGCTGAAAGTTACCCTTCCATCCAGATTAGTTGTACTTTGGTTTACCTGTTGAATTTGATCATTACTTCTAAAGGCACCCAGCCATCATCTAGTTTGATCTGCTCCTTTAGGAACTTGTCTCTTGGTAGATTGTGATTGCCAAAATAGTACTGCAAAAAAAGAAGGGAGAGGGAGGCAGGGAGAGAGATTTGTCTTTGAATGTTCAGTCTTAAAAGTTTTTCATCTGACAACTTACTGCAGTGGATTAAGACATACCAAAATTCATTAATCTGAACAATTAGAAATTCCGAGATTATTACTTCCTGCTTTAACATGATCCTTTTCCAAAACTTAGCTGCAACACATAAGCTGTAAAAAAAAAAAAAAGCTGGTGCTTCATCCAGTGGGACAATGAGGCAAAGGTAGACTGCAGTTTTGTTTAGGAAAGGCGTGAAGCTTATTCTGTTGACATAATTATTCATCAACCTGATCAAGCTCTGCAGAGTCAAAAGTCAAATTTGTCACCAACAGATTCAGGTTTTAGTCCTTATTTAAGGAACGTATAAGCAAGAATATTGTATTTGCCACACTGAGAAATCATACACATAGACTAGAGTTTCTAGGTCTCGTTCAAGAAAATACTATAAGATAAAAAAAATTGTTTTTATTTTAATTTACTATGTTCTCATTTTAATCACGTCCAGCATGGGAAGACAATTCGGCACAAGATAGACAAGTTATCAGATTCTTTTACTTACTAGCAGTCATCTAACTAGGGTCAAATACTTGAAGTCACAGGATAAGTTGGAGCGTTTCCACCAATATCATCGTGCTTTAAAAACTCAGTGCAAGTTCTACAACAATACCTCTCCCTCTAGTATACCTCAAACTCACATTACCACAAGTCTAGCTTTGTCAACTATTTTTCCTCAATTTCTGTTGTTTGGGGTTTTTTTCCATAAATAATGACTACAGCTCCATATGCTGATGGGGATTCACATGCAGCTGTATTTTTATCCATCAGGAAGACAGTTTTGTTCTAGATGTCATATTAAGTGATGTGCCCAGTTTTCCGTTGTAGGGTAACCCTCCAAGTCCCTAGAGTGAGAAAGTTAATCTAAAGCAGGCACATAAGTTTAGTTGTAATTTGTAGCAATAAATTACAAAGCAGTAAATCATAATAGCAAGTTATGCAATGTGCTAGTATTTTTACCAGCACAGATTCCCAAGTAGAAGGATTTTTTCACAAAAAAAATTGAGTCATATAGAATTAAAATGCATCTTCATATC